ATGCCCCCCTCTGCAAGTAGTGTGCGGATATCTCAAGAGTGGCACTGGAATGTGCAAGTTGAATATCCAGTTGCTTCGTCTCACGGGAGAACGTCTCCAGGGCGAACACATGTTTTTGGTTGGTTGCGACTGGAATCTCGACCCCAGCTTAGTTGATTCTTCAGGTGTGTGTCGTCGCACGGGGGGAGCGTTGTTTGTTCCCAGCCAGAAAACCTGCCTCTCCCCGCAAAGTCTCTCTACGATTGATTACTTCTTGGTGAGTTCTGGCCTTGCGAAGGCCACCGACGGGGTCCAAGCGGACCTGGAGTGGACCCATAGGCCCCACCGCCCCGTTGCTTTGAAACTCAAGGATGATGCTGTTCGATGTTATCAGTTGCAGTATCGGGCCCATCAGCGTCTTCCCACTAGTCTGCCCATAGGACCTGTGCCACAACCGCAGGACTGGCGCCTCGCTCGGGGGATCGCTGAGGCCGCAGCCGAGGCTGCTCTAGAGGCTCCTGTCGGTCAGGCGTGGGCTTTGCGTTCTGTTGCGTGGCAGCACTTCGCCAACACCTTCGAGCTTGAGCTCGCGAGCTACACTGGAGAGGTTGTGAGGAGTAAAGGTTTTCGAGGTGACTATCTGAAACCCAAATGGGTACCGATGTTTGCCAAGCCCCGTGCTTTAGAAATGCTTTCGGTCTCTCGGGGATGGATTTGGCTGGCCCAGCACCTCTGCGAAACGGTGGGGGCCTCTGCGAGGCCCCAGCAGGCCTACATGAAGGCCGCCGAGGACCCCGATGGATATGAGGACATCACGGCCCGTGATCAGATGCTTCAGGATGTTCAGCTCCAAATTCAGCAGCTTTTAGGTCTCCCTTGTCCAGGAGGCGGAGGCGACATTCGCCTTGATTCGACCCTGCGGCAGGCACGCAGCCTGGCAAGCAAGTTCCCCTCGTCAGGCCCTTTGAATGGCTGGTGCGACGAGCGCCAGGAATTCTTACAGTCGTGGGAGGACGACCTCCTCTCGGCCAAGCAGGCCATTGTTAAGCAGCAGCAGGACAGCTGGGATCAATGGCAGGAGCAGGCTTTGGAAGGAGGGGCTAGAGGGATGCATCGCCTTACTAAGTTAAAAACCAAGTGGAATCCCACCGTGGTCCAGACCTCTCCTGAAGTTTTCAGCAGTGACCCCCAGCTCCTCCTTCGACGTGAAGGTGAGGAACTGGCTAAGTTTTGGCACGCGTCTCATGTGCCTCCTGAAGTTTGCGTGCCCGACCGTGTCCACCTGCCTCGGCCGACGGCTGCTGAGCTTAGGAATGCGTCGAGCAGCTTCAGTCATCACACGTCCCAATCCCTTGATGGCTTTCACCCTCGTCACTTCAGCCTCGGGTCGGACGCGGCTCTTGAAACTTTCGCGGCGCTGGTTCAAGCGATTGAGTCCCTGGGCCTCTTCCCTAAACAACTGTTTTGGCTCCTCTTTCCCTTGCTCGAAAAACCGCGAGGGGGCCTGAGGCTTATTTTTTTATGTGCGGGACCCGTTCGTGTTTGGGAGAGATTGCGGCGCCCCGCCATTGTAGATTTCAACGACAGGTATCCTCGCAAGTATTGGGCCTTCGGACCAGGTAGGAGTGCTGAGGGCGCTGTGTGGCATCAGGCCGTTCGGGCCGAGGTCGCGCACCATGATGATAAGGTTACGGGGGGATTCATATGGGATGGGACTAAGTATTACGAGTCCTTCGATCTCTCCGTGCTGAGACAGCGAGCCTTAGATTATGGCATCGACGCTACGATAGTGAAGACGACGTATAATTATTGGCGAGGCCCGCGTCTGTTGCGGCTTGGAGCCCAATATGTTGCTGTGCCCTACTTCGCCTCTTCGGGCTTACCTGCTGGAGATATCTTTAACGATGTCTTCGTTCGCGTCTATAGCATCGAGGCCTTTGATAAGTTCGTTGGCAGTCATAGGGATGCGTGGTTATCCTCTTACGTTGACGACGACAGTGTGACGACGGAGGGGGCGGAGGATGAGGTGATTAGCAACGTTATCCGAGCGGCAGCAGCTTTGTTCATCATCTTTAGAGATGAGCTTCGTGTGGTTGTGCATCCTGACAAAGTTTGCACGTTTGGTAGTTCGCTTACGCTGGCCAAGAGCATTGCACGACATCTGGGGCACATGTCAGGCCAAGTATCTAACAGCGTGGTTTCACTCGGTACCGATCTTGCTCCTGGCCAGCGTCGGTCGGCACATAGAGCACTGTGGAGACGACGGACCCGCCTTCGTGATATGCGGCGGCGGCACCGCGTTCTCCAGCGATATCGCCATGCCCTCCCTCGACAGAAAGGTCGTATCGGGAAAATATACGTCGCTGGAGTTTTGCCTGCGGCCAGTTTTGGATCGGGGGTGATAGGTATGAGCAACCAAGAACTCCAGCAGGCTCGACGGGTCCTCTTAGCCTACAAGCCCCCTCGTCACCAAGGATGCTCTTTGCACGCCAAGCTCGCCATCCTAGGCGATCCTGTGTGGCGCGCTGCGGTTGCTCCTGTGCTTCACTGGGCTGGAGTCGTGTGGACGGCGATCACGTGTCCGCAAATATCCCAGTACACGGTTAAGGATTTGTGCCTTATATGGCGCACGATACCCTTCGATGATGATGTCACCTGGAGGTCCTCTAGGGGACCTGTGCAGCGTATGCATCTCAGCCTTCATAGACTGGGGTGGGTTTCTACGTCGGCCTTGACCCTTCGGGATGATAAGGAGAGAGAAATACACTTAGGTTGCACCTCCCCTTCCATGCTCGCGCACCTCCTGGATCTCGCTTCCCAGAGGGCCCATGAGAGGGCCCTGGCCGAGCACACGCCTGGCTTCGGTGGTGATCGCGTTTGTGTTGAGCCCCTCAAGAAAATTCTGGGGCCCCAAGGGAAAGGCCTTAGCCCTCGGGAAAAAGACCTGGCTCTCACCTGTTTTTGTAAGGGAGTGTGGACTCGTACGCGGGCTCGCGCCTGCGGGTGCCAGGCTGACGGCGTGTGCCCTCTTTGCGGGCAGACCGACAGCGTGAGACACCGACTTTGGCAGTGCATGCACCCGACGGCGGCTGCGGCACGAGCCGAAGCGCTTGACGGAGTCCCCGTCGAATGGCATGCGGAGGCTCTTGAGAGTGAGGACCGTTTTTTCTTTGATGAGATGAAATGGCCTCATCCCGAAGCCTCGTACCCGCCCCCTTCCCCCGAACCTAACCCACAACTGTATGACGCCTCGGGTGCTGCTGTGCCTTGGGACGCGATCGACCTGAAGGGGCTTGATGTGTGCGTGGACGGTTCGGCCAGCAGACATTGTATCCGTGAGCTTTCGCGGGCCTCCTACTCCTGGATCTTTCTGGGGCCCCGACCCAATGAAATTGTTGCTACTGCTCGTGGCACCGTCCTGGACACCCTCCCTCAAACATCCCAGGCCGCGGAACATCAGGCGATGGCTTTGCTTCCCATGTTCCAGCAGCTCGGGGGAAACAGGTACGGGGACAGCCTGACCGTCGTCAAGTTATGCCGTGCGGACCCCATGCATCAAGTTTCTAGGAAGCATCGTTGCGCTGGTCTGCGTCGTGGATCGCTGCTGCATGAAGTCGCTGGCCATGCACCCGTTGTCTCTCACACGCCAGCACACCGACAGTTGGCTGCGATTGACGCTTTGCCAGAGGATGAACGTCGTATCGGCTTGGGAAACTGGCGCGCAGATGCTCAGGCCAGAACAGCTCTCCTCTCTCACCCCCAATCTCCCTGAATGAAAGAGAGGAGGTGGACAGGAAATGTAAACTACTGCGTATCGTTGCACGTGTTTGTGGAAAGGTCCTTCCGGCCTTCCCTCATGAGAAATTCGATCGTATCAGCTTTGGTCCTAGGTCCAAGTTTTTAAAATCAGGGGGCTGGCATGCGTGGCAGGACCTCGAACAAGGCAGGTCGCGATGCTTGCATTGTCTTGCTTTATGGACCGACCCGCTTTCCAGACCCATGCTTGGGTGCAAAGGCATGAGTAGCACGTGGCGTAAAACATTAGGCGTCAGTCTTGGTCACACTCTTGCCCACTGTCGTGTCTCAAAGGGCGAGGCCGAGAAAACACTGTTCTTTTGCATCGTGTGTGGAGCGTACACTTCTAGCCGCTGCCATAAGCTCGGACAGGAGTGTTCCCAACGTCGGTTGAGCGGAGCTCCGACGACGCTCCGCCGCATATACAATGGCCTTTACCCGCATTATCGTGACACCTCGAGGCTCACGAGCAGCACGAGAAGGGGCAGCTCGTTTTTGTGTTTCTCCGCGTCCCAGCCGCCGCCGCAGGAGGTGGTCGTCTCAGGAGCTCTTTCTTCTGGCCTCGTCCAAACTCCTGGTATGATCGCGCTGCAGGCGCGGATCCAGGCAAAGGAGGCGGCCGCCAGTTCGATTGCTAGAGTTGTCACACCCTCTCGTCACCTCTCGTCGGCTTCGCCTCAGAGGCCCTCCAGCGCGCATGCGCGCGAAGAGGAGCCTGCAGACGATTTTGGTGCCGACGAAGAGGCATCGAGATTTTTGTTCGAATCTTCTACCGATGGACAGGAGCCACGTGTGCCTCCTGGTCAGCCTGTGCGCGTGGCAGCCGCGCGCCTCGCACATGACGAGGACGAGGCTCCTTTTGTGGCGGCCGAGGAGGAGGCGTCCCTCGTTGGCCGTGTTTAATGCGTTCAGAGAGCGGGCACGTGTCACCAGTGGTCTGACTCTGTTTCTGTAAGACCGTGCTGGCGCCGTGTGCTCGGTGCTCTGCGTGTTTTGTTTTTGAGCCTCCTGCGCAACGCCCCAGGTCGCTCTCGACCAAGGTTCGCTTAGGCGATCCTCTCGGTCGCCTGTTAGCAGTGTTCACGCCCCTTGGGGACCGATGACGAACAAATCCTCCTCCCCTCCTCCTCCTCCTCCTCCTCCTCCTCCCTCCTCCTCCTCCTCCTCCTCCTCCTCCTCCTCCTCCTCCTCCTCCTCCTCCTCGCCTCCCCTTTTCCTCAAATGAGGTCCAGGGTCACCGGCCTGGACCTGTCGCAGGGGATGCTGACACACGCGAGGAGGGCCTACCCCTCCGCCGAGTTCATCCGAGGTCGGAGGGCGGGGGGGGGCGGCCAGACTCTGCACGGGAGAATGCGCGCGAGCGCCTGGCATCGCTCGGACGTGTGCCTTTTTCCTTCGGCGAGGACCATCGAGGAGCATCCTTGACCACTTGGCGACGCACGAAACCGACAAAAAGCACAGGGAATGGACGTCCGAGCGATGGCGCGAGCGCGGGGAGGGGCGGGCGCCCGAACCCCAGGGACCCCAGGGGGGGTTCGGCCACTTGACGTCGTGAGCCGTTTCAGTGCCAGCGTTTGCCCTTGGCTTCGATCTCGGGAGGTCTCGCGTCGGGGTGGCCAGGGGCCGCCGTGGAACGACCCAAGCGATTCAGGAAGAGAAAAAACACACAGACACAAGTGATCGTCGAGGAAAATATGGGAAAATACGGGAAGTGGGGGGGAAAACAAAAACCAAGAAAATATGGGGGATCTTTCTATTTGTGTGTATTTATTTGTGTGTCCCAGGGCCCCTTCAATCGGGGTGGCCAGGGGCCGCCGCGGAACGACCCCAGCGACGGGCGGCGGGCCCCCGGGGAAGGGGGCGGAGGACCTCCGGGGGGGGCCGCGCGGTGGAGCCGCGATGGCGTGGGGAGCTCGTGGCGGGAAGGCACGGGGAAGGGGAAGGAAAGGCAAGGAGGGAGTGTGGGAGGCGGGTGAGGAGGAGGAGGGAGAGGAGGAGGAGGAGGGAGAGGAGGAGGAGGAGGAGGAGATGGAGGAGGAGGAGGAGGAGGAGGAGGAGGAGGAGGAGGAGGAGGAGGAGGAGGCGGAGGAGGAGGAGGAGGAGAGAGGAGGAGGGAGAGGAGGAGGATGAGGAGGCGGGTGAGGAGGAGGAGGGAGGAGAGAGGCGGGTGAGGAGGAGGGAGAGGAGGAGGAGGAGAGGGAGGAGGAGGGGAGGAGGAGGAGGAGGAGGAGGCGGGTGAGGAGGAGGAGGAGGAGGCGGAGGAGGAGGAGGAGGAGGAGGAGACGGAGGAGGCGGAGGAGAATGAGGAGGAGGAGGAATGATATCAGCGGGGGGCTCGGGCGGGCCGGCAGGGAGGGGATGGATGGAGGGAGGCTGCATGTTCCTCCTTCTCCTCATCATTGTGCTTCTGCTCCTGCCTCGTTCCATCTCTGCACCCTCCCTCCTCCTGGCCCCCCGAAGGAGGGGACGTGTTTGGAAGCCGGTTATTGCAAGGCCCCCACGGGAAAAAAAAACGTTGAGCTCACTGGTGCCGTGAGTGGTTTGGTGAAGTATCCTGGGATCGGACCGTGTGAGCAAATTTCTGGAGTCTTTTCGATTTGCAGGCGAACATTGATATCCTATCGTTGCGTTCCCCTCCCATTTTCTCTTGCCTCGGCCGGCATGGATTACGATCCCCTTCCGCCAAAAGAAAAATAACCACCTGTAGTTTCTCCGTCGCGTTGCTTGCTCTCCCTCTCTCATACGCGGATCGCGTGTGTGGATTTATCCTGTCCGCCTATATTTGGAGTTACGCTCTAGAGTATTGACAGATTGGTCACATGACGTTCCCTGGTCGACAAACTTCATCCTCTTGTCTGGTCGTCTTGGCTTGATGTCGTCGTGACACCAGACTGCACCGCCTTCAGAGTTTCGCGAATGATGCTCACTATTGAATTGGGAAGGGATGGCCTTAAGGTATCATAACGTAAAGGGTGACAAACTGGACAATATTGTCTCATGAAGAGAATTGCCCTAACGACGGATTGCCGGATGGGGTGTGGCCAGGAGGGTTTGTGGTGGACGGTCAGGTTGGCCGGAGGGTTGTTTGGGGCTGGCCAGACGGATTGCCAGTGTAGTTTGTCGTCCGGTTTTCTCCAGGGTGTTTAGTAGTGAAATAGGTGGGAAGCAACATTATGGGCTCTGATGATAAGGGCAAGGGAGACATTCGGGGCCTACATGCATATATACATATATATGTATAGATATATATATATATATATATATATATATATATACAGTTATATCTACATATGTTATACATATAGACAAGCCCAAAAGTAAGGAACTTCGGCGAGACGAGGGGAAGATATGAGAAGGAGGGGAATGACACTTCTTATAAACATCGTAGTTGGTACCGCGGGGTGGCCACCGAAGCGGTTGCAGCTCTTGGACCGTCAATCGTGGCAGCCACTCTTCCCACCTCCCCATCCTGCTATTGCTCCTCCTTCTCCTCCTCCAGATGCTGTCACTTGCGAGACCGACTGGGATGAACCTGCGACCCAGCCAAAGATTGGAGGTCACATTCATTCTCTACCGACATCGAGAACCGCGGTCTCCCCTCTCCTCTTCCTCCTCCTCCTCCTCCTCCTCCTCCTCCTCCTCCTCCTCCTCCTCCTTCCGTCCGCAACAGATGCACCTTACAAAAGTGAGAAGTATATTAATTGCACAGGAGAAGAGCCGCAATCAGTGGATGGTTTGACATGGGATCGATCAAGAGATCGATAAAGAGATCGATCGGGAACCCGGAACCCACCGAAATCGGACCGGAACCAATGACCAGGAACCGGGGAACCCAGAATCCAGGAAGCCGGGAACCCAGCCGGCCACCCAAACCAGCGGGAAATTGTTCGCCAAAATTTTCAATTTCCGCTGGGACCCTTTCAGTGCAAGCACTGATTGGGGAATAACAAGAAGACGCATGGGAGGAGGAGGAGGAGGAGGAGGAGGAGGAACTGGCAAGATGAGAAGATGCAGGAGGGACGTCCAGTGGCCTGGAAGGCGGGCGTGAGGGCAGAGGCGACATCCACAACTTCGAGGACCCAGACTTCAGGTGCCGGGGAGGGGTCAAATCGACCTCCGCCTCCTCAGTGCTAAGTCGGGCATGTCCCTCTACAGGGGGAGTATTCAAAAGTAGCATTTTAAAAGATAGTCAGGGGACGTTTTTTTCCCAACCATCCTGTGGTGTTGCGTCCTCGTTTTGAAGAGACAGCGCCCCGCGTTCCCACCTTCCTCCCGCTGCCCCCCTCCCTCCTCCCCCTTCTCCCTTCTCCTTGCGTTTCACCCACGTAGTACGGTGTTTCGTGGCCCCATAGGGTGCTCCGCCGGAGGCCTCAGAGGCAGGGTCCGCATGCAGTTCCACCCCCATTTCGGCGCACCCTCACACGTTTCGTGGCCCTCATAGGGTGCTCCACCCAGGCCCCAGTGGCAGGGTCCGCATGCAGTTCCACCCCCATTTCGGCGCACCTCTCACACGTTTCGTGGCCAATGGGGTGCTCCAACGAAGGCCCCAGTGGCAGGGTCAGCATGCAGTTTCACTTCCATTTCGGCGCACCACTCACACGTTTCGTGGCCCCCATAGGGTGTTCCGCCGAAGGCCCCAGTGACTGGGTCCGCATGCAGTTCCACCCTCATTTCGGCGCACCTCTCACACGTTTCGTGGCCCTAACCCTATCCAGTGATTAAGAACCCCCCCCCCGTTCCGGTGGATTATAACGCCCCCGCACCCTGGAGCGTTATGGCTGCACCGGAAGACCTGGCTGCGGGGACTCGGGGCCTAGCTAGGGCTTCGCAGGGCACACCCCTCACACGTTTCGCGGCCCTATAGGGTGCTCCACCCAAGGCCCCAGTGGCAGGGTCCGCATGCAGTTCCATTTCCATTTCGGCACACCCCTCACGTTTCGTGGCCCGACAGGGTGCCCCGCCGAAAGCCCCAGTGGCAGGGTCCGCATGCAGTTCCACCCCCATTTCGGCGCCCCCCTCGCACGTTTCGTGGCCCTATAGGGTGCTTCGGCGAAGGCCCCAGTGGCGGGTTCCGCATGCAGTTCCACCTCAATTTTGGCGTACTCCTCGAACGTTTCGTGGCCCCATAGGGTGCTCCACCGAAGGCCCCAGCGGCAGCGCCGGCATGCGGTTCTACCCCCCATTTCGGCACACTCCTCACAGGTTTCGTGGCCCCATAGGGATCTCCACCAAAGGCCACAGTGGCTTCGTTCGCATGCGGTTCCAACCCCCCATTTCGGCACACCCCTCACACGTTTCGTGGCCCTATAGGGTGCTTCGCCGAAGGCCCCAGTGGCAGGGTCCGCATGCAGTTCCACCCCCCATTTCGGCGCACCCCTTGCACGTTCCGCGGCCCCATAAGGAGCTCCACCGACGGCTCTGGTGGCAGCGTCCGCGTGGCGTACCCGTGCCAATTTTGGCACACCCGTCACACGCGTCGTGACCCCAGAGAGGTTTACCGAGGTCGATACCCACAACTGCGTCACTCACAACTGCACATGGTTGGGTCCCTCGCCAGGATAATTATAATTATTTTTGAATATTGACTGACTATTCTTTATTTTGTGTCCAGCATCCGCTTGTAAGAGGACACGCCCGACCTAACCTTAGTGAGGGAATGGGCGGGGGAATGTCGGCAGCAGGCAACAAGGATGGCGCTCGGCAGGTGGTTTTCCAAGACGTTCTTGAAGGGGGCTCATGAGAAAAGCCTGCTCCTGCAAGTAGAAAAGCCTTCTGATAGGCCTACGCTCCCTTCCAGAGGGCCCACTGCCTTCTGAGAAGGCCGCCCCCTCGCCGCCCTCCTCTTTGCGCGCTGGCAGTTCCTCGTGCGGGGAGGAGGGGAGGGTGCAGGTGGGGCGCAGCCGCTGGGCGCCCCAAGAGGAAGGAAAGGAAGTGGGCGAGAAAGGAGGCATCGCGGGCGAACGAGCGACTGTAAACACGGCGTTGGGCCCTCGTGCGCGCGTGATCGTTTTTGCGATCGGAGCCTGGCAAGACGGGCATCTGCAGACGGACACGCGCCGGCACATTCCTAGCCTTGCAGCGGATGTGTCTTGTCTGTCCGTAGTTTCCAGAGGTCCCAACCCCTTTCTGGAGGGGCCAGTTATCCGTCGCGGGATCATTGTCTGACGGTTCTAGGGCCCGCAAAGGCCCCCTAGGCCGAAATACAAGAAAAACTGCGGGATTGAATAAGCCAATCCGCTGGAAGTGCAGCCGTTTCGGTGAGCCTTGTATCTCCTGCGAGTTCCTCGCGGATCGAGACCGAGGAATACGAGGGATTGACCAGCCATACCGCAGCAATTTACGACTGCTCTCCTGCTTTATGTTGTGGCAGCTTTTCTTACACATGCAGTATACCGTGTCGCATAGTTCCGGAACGCGATCGGGACGTCTCGACGCTAGCCGAAATATTTGTCCCCGTAAAGTGTAAGAGATCGGCGTCAGCCCAACATACTTGTATGTGTCTATTATAGATATGTATGTATGTATGTATGTATGTATGTATGTAAGTATGTAAGTATGTGTGTGGATGTATGTATGTATGTATGTATGTCTGTATGCATGCATGTGTGTATGTATGTATGTATGTCTGTGTGTGTGCGTCGACCGCCCCAGGGGCGACGCGCGCACCGCGAATTCTTCTAGTATGTGCGTCGTGGCGGGCGCTTTCTGGCCACACCGCTCGGGAAACGATCTACTGCAAGATAGGTATACGATATGTTCGGATCGGACGCGCGCCTCCAGGCAGGACCTGCAGCACTGGTATTCCTCTGTGCGTCCCACAAAGACGTTCTGACCTGCATGCCGGGTGCACCAGCCGATGGCAGCCAGACCTCGGGCCCCGGAGGTGTACGAGCCCCCCCCCCCGCGTTCCCGGCCTTCCCCCCTCCACCCACCCCCCAGAGCGCCGCCGACGTCCGAGCATCTGTTCCCGCGCGCCACGTCGAGGCCGGCCCGGCAGCCGAGGCATGCCCACATCCCTCCTGGACCTCAAACGCAAATTCTTTCCCGCGGCGTGGCGGCGCCCCAGGGCCCCCCAAGACTGCAGCGTTCGCGCCGGAGCTGCCGACTGCAGGCGCCAACGCCTGACCCCGCAGGCCGCGCTCCGCGCGCCGATCAGCACCGAGCGCCTCGCTCGATTTCGAGGACCTGGCATCGCTCGGACGTGTGCATTTCATGTTCCCTTCGGCGAGGGCCATCGAGGAGCACCCTGGATCATTTGGCGAAAAAGCCACGCACGCACGATAGCGAACAAAATCGCAGGGAGTGGACGTCCGAGCGATGGCCAGCTGGAGGGCCGTCGGCGAGGACGGGCGCTCGGCGCAGGCGGCCCGCCGCTGGTGGCCCGTGGAGACCGCCCAAAAAGCGCCGGCGCCCGCGGCGCCCCCGCGGCGGACCCCCCACGCCCCCGGGGGACCGGCCGGCGGCCGTCGGAGGTGGCTCAGTTGGGAACCCCCAAACCGGGTGGTGAGATACCAAGTGGCGACCTGGAATCCCCAAAAAGGTCACCGCTGGGTTTGGGGACGCGGGGTCACCACCGGGTTTTGTGACTCCTGGGCCCACCAGCGTCCGGGAGATCCTCGGAAAACCGCACGAGTCCCCAAACCGGGTGGTGACACCAAATCGCCCGAGACTCACCGCCAGGTGTTGTCACCACCACGTTTGGGGACTACCAACTCAGGCCGCCGAGGCTCGAGTCTATCGGGGGCGGAAAAGAGGGGGGTGATGACTAGGGGGGGGTGGATATCATGGCGCGGGCCATGATATCTCCCCAGATCTCATGGTGCCTCTTCTTATTTCATTACGCCCCTGGCCCCCCCGCTGGGCCGCGCACATGCCGCCGGTCATGATTTGCACCCCCCCCTCTTGGACACCCCCCTCTTGGCCGCTCCCGAGTCTAGAAGTCACGCTTCGACACGAACTGGAGCCACCTGGCATCGCTCGGACGTGTGCATGTTTCTGTCGGCGAGGACCATCGAGGAGCATTCTGGATCATTCGGCGAAAAAGCCACGCACGATACCGACAACAAACACAGGGAATGGACGTCCGAGCGATGGCCAGTTTTGACACGAACCAGAGCCAGGCATCAAAAAGCTTCGCATCCACAGCTGGAGAGCTCGTTGGTTTCATCGTTGCCGCCCGCGGGGCGCCGGGGCGCGTCCCGGTGTGCGGACCGGGGGGGCGCCCGGCGGTGAGGGGCTGCAGCTCCTCTCCCAGAGCCCCTCGCGCTGTGAAGCAAGAGCCACGGCACGCGAGGCTTCTCGCCATACAGTCGGGGCGCTGACGAAGGAACCCTTTTCGTTCGGGAGGTTCCCAGTGTTCCTTGATTGTTTCACAGCTTGCCTTAGGTTTCCCTTAGATTTTCGATGGGGAATCGAACTTGAATTGATGGGAAAACGGGCCCCCGTTCCTTATTTAGGGTTCCTTAGGTCAACGCCCCGACTGTATAGCCAGGCATCAAAAAGCTGCGCATCCACAGCCGGAGAGCTCGTTGGTTTCATCGTTGCCGCCCGCGGGGCGCCAGGCAGAGCGCGTCCCGATGTGCGGACTGGGGGGGCGCCCGGCAGTGAGGGGCTGCGGCTCCTCTCCCAGAGCCCCTCGCGCTGTGAACCAAGAGCCACGGCACGGGAGGCTTTTCGCTATAATGGAGGATGACGATTAATAAATGACCGGGGGTCGTGTTCACGCGGCGGCGCCCGGGATGACGATTAGAAAAAACCGGCCGCGGGCTGGAAAATTATTTTTTCAAATCGTTCTTCTCCAGTCCGAAACTTATGCAGAAATAGCAGAGAACTATGTTTTTTTTATTATCGTACTCTCCCATTTTTTAATTAGTCGTCATCCCGCGTTAGTCTCGGCCTCCGGGGTGCCCGGGACCCGTCAGCAAAACGACTCGGGAGGAAGCACCAGTCCTGCCCAGACGTCCGCCGACCTGCTTTTCTCAATCCGCGGCCCCATGCACAGGGGTCCCGGACCCTTCCCCTGGTGTGGTCTTTCGTCCCGGATCCACTTTTGCTGGCCCCCAGGCCCAACAACTCACCGCCCACCAAACC